AGGAAGATGTCGAGAAGACAACCTGTCGAACGAGGTATGGGAGCTTTGAGTTTCTGGTGATGCCCTTCGGGCTGTGCAATGCACCGGCAACGTTTTCGGCGTTGATGAACCACATCTTTGTACCCTATCTAGATCACTTCGTGGTTGTCTATATCGACGACATCCTGATCTATAGCAAGACACTAAAGGAGCATGCCGAACACTTGGCGAAGGTGTTTGAGAAACTAAGGGAACACAAACTGTATGCTAAAGAGAGCAAATGTGACTTCGCTCAACAAGAGGTAAAGTTTCTTGGGCATGTGGTGGGCCAGGACGGGCTCAAGGTGGACCCGGAGAAGGTCCAAGCGATCCAGGAATGGGAGCGACCATCGAATGTACATGAGTTGAGGGCGTTCTTGGGGCTATACAACTACTACCGAAAGTTTATCAGACACTATTCGAGAGTAGCCTTGCCCTTAACGGACCAAACAGGAAAAGGGAAGATGGTATAGACAGCGGAATGCGAGGCGGCATTCGTCCACCTCAAAGGGAAGTTGAGAAAGGCTCCCGTGTTGGCATTACCAGACTTTGGTAAGGACTTTGAGGTAGAAACGGATGCTTCGGACTTTGCGTTGGGCGCAATTTTGAAGCAAGACAACCATCTAGTAGCGTTCTTCTCGAAGAAGTTGGACACGGCTCAATGGAAGTGGCCTGCCCACGAGAAGGAATTGTTTGCGGTGGTCAAAGCGCTCAAGGAGTGGCAACACTACCTTGGGAGACACTTCAAGGTTTACACGGATAATGTGGCAACGAAACACTTCTTGTCACAGCCCGACCTAAGAGGGAAACAAGGTCGGTGGGCCAATGCCTTGGCCGAGTTTGATTGCGAAATTCTGTACAAGCCTGGGAAGAGCAACATCGTGGCGGATGCACTAAGTCGAAAAGCAAGCTTGAGGTTGGCAATATCCAGTGCAACAGCAACCTTCTGGGATGATGTGCGGACAGCATATGAGAACGATGGTCTAGCACAAGAAGTGTTGCTAAGGAATCTGGAGGCACGGGAAGCTTACCAAAGAAGTGAGCTGCCAACGGAAGAGAAAACGGGCTATGCAGAATGCAACGGACTCATCTATTACAAGCAAACGAAGGTGTATGTTCTAGAAGGGGAATTAAGGAAGGTAGCCTTAGAAGAGTGTCATGACGGACCTCTTGCGAGACACGGCGGAGTGCCCAAGACAATGGGCTTACTCAAGAGGAAGTACCATTGGCCAGATATGGCTAAAGATGTCCAAGACTATGTAAAGACATGTCCAACATATCAGCAGGTCAAAGCCGTGACTAAGGCTAGTGGGGGCTTGTTGCAAAGCATCCCAATTCCAAATCGTCCGTGAAAATGTCTTACGATGGACTTCATCACAGGACTTCCCCCAAGCGAGGGGTTTGATGCGATATTCGTGGTGGTGGACCGATTTTTGAAAATGGCACATTTCATACCCACCACAACAGAAGTGGATGCGGAAGGTGTGGCGAAGCTGTTCTTCGAACAAGTGGTTCGAGTACGGGGAAGGCCGGAAGAGATCATCTCAAATCGAGATAAGATCTTCACTAGTAGGTTCTGGAGGACTCTCTTGGAACAGTATCGCACCAAGTTGAAATTCAGCACAGCCTATCACCCATAGACAGGTATGGGGTATTAAGTCAAGTTTGGTGGCACTAACACTTCTTGATAGACGGACAAACGGAAAGGGTGAATAGGCAGCTGGAGGATTATTTGCGATGCTATGTCTCAGGAGACCAAACCGATTGGGTAAGTCATTTGGGACTTGCGGAAATGTGTTATAACAACTCACCACATTCGAGTATCGGGGTGAGTCCATGAGAAGTCATCAATGGGCGAGCTATTGAAGGTCCTGTGGAACTCGGCGTGGCCGAGTATCACGAGAGTTACCTGCAGTGGAGGCATTCACAGCGGAAAGACTCAACATTTGGAATCTAGTGAGGGATTCCTTGGAACGAGCTCAACAAAGGCAAACTAAGTACGCGAACCAGAAGCACCGGGATGTAGAGTTCTAAGCTGGGGAGAAGGTGTGGCTGAACACCAAGAACCTCAGGCTACCAAGTGGGATCAGCCGGAAGTTGACCTAAAGGTAAAAATGCATGTATTCCTATAAATGAATTGATCTTGAGTTCCTTAAGCAGGTTCACGGGGCCTTACGAGATTGAGGCTCGAATCGGTAAAGTGGCTTACCGACTCCGACTTCCTCGAGAGATGGGGAAGATGCATCCCGTGTTCCACGTGAACTTACTCAAGCCGTATTTTGAGGATCCGCTTCGCAAGGACCAAGTAAGACCTTTACCTGAGGTTATTCAAAGGGAAGAGGAATACGAAGTCGAGGCCATCCTTAATGCGCGCAAGAGCAAGCGACAAGGACGCGAGGTGAGAGAGTTCTATGTGAAGTGGAAAGGATTTCCACACTGCGAAGCAACATGGGAACCAAAGGAGAACCTAACGAACGCGCGAGATCTAGTGGAGGAATTTCTGCAAGGCAGAACTCTATGTACTTATGCAAAGTTCAATTAAAGTATCAATTTGTGAAGTTGAGCGATGGCATATGTTGGGACCCGAAGGCGCGCCGAAGGTAAGCTAATTAGCATGGGTTAGCTAGGTCGACCAGGCATAGGGAGCTACGCCCGACTCCCTGTGGGGATGTCGAATCCGTAGACGTATTCTATAGAGGTTGGGTTCGAGTCCCAACCCCCTGGTAAAGCAAGGCTGGGTTCAAGTCCCGACCCCATACTAAGGCGTGGTGAGGTGAGGAGTATAGGGACACCTATATTCCGTTGTCATGGGCTCTTGGCCGGGGAGGCTAACTTAGGCACACCACTAAGTGGGGGGATGCCCCTGGAGACATGGTCAACAAGTTGTAGGATCAAAAGAGAGACGTTCAATGTGGGCATCGGACTTCTTCTATGGGTGGTGGAGTTGTAAGGAACCAACTCGCCGAGGTGTCGTAGGCTAAAGGAACCCCAAAAGCATGACCAAAATGACAAAGAGTTCATCGGATGGGACCAAGTCTAAGATCAAGTCTAAGACTGACTTGGAGACCGAGTTCGAGATAGAGTCTGAAATCGAGTCCGAGGCCGACTCGGGGACCGAGTTCGAGACCGAGTTCGAGACGGAGTCCGAGAAAAGCCCAAAGCGTGTGTCTCCCAAGGGGGGGGGGGGGGGGCTGCAGGGGTCCAAAAGTATAGTACGGATAGTGAGGTCCAGGAACCAGTTTTGAAGGGACTCTCCAGTGGGGCTTCCAAACCGACTTGAGGTTGAGACTAGGATCGAGGGGCCTTGGGTGGGAGTGAGTATGGACTTGGTTGGTGCCGGAGGGGCCATCCAAGGAAGTGCTCAAGAGCAGCTCCCACTCCCGAAAGGGAAATCAATTGTGGTGCTCCCGACTCATGTGGAGTGGTGCCCCACTTGAGTACCATGCGGCTCATTGGTCCTCGCCCTTCCTAAGGGCTTGGGCCTTTCTTCGGGATGGAAGTGGGGGGGTAGAGGTACACATACCAGGCCGCTAGGCCACGGTGTTTTGCCCTGGCGTCTCGAAGCAAGTGTTGCACTCAAGACTTGGGATTTAGAGGGTCCCATGATCAAGTCTTGTGGTACCAAGGGATGTTAGGAACCTGGAAGTTTGGTGTGCTTGGCTGCTTGTGCTTGCGGGGAGTGTAGCCGAACCTTAAGTCCAGTCTAACCCGGGGAGGGGGATTGAGAAAGATTGGGAATCCGTGGATGGATGGCTAACACTCCATTGCTCATGCAGTGAGTAGCTGAAACCAAGTAGGACCAAGTAGGAGTTGGTACCATAAGCGAGAACCTTGGCGAGGGAACTTAGCAAAAGCCAAGGCAGTGTCGGACAGATAGACGAGGTAAGTTGGCAAATTGGAAAGGAAAAATTTGTAGCTTATAGTATATAGGCATTTCTTGAAAGTCATGAAATTGCAATTTTCTAAAATAAGTAGGAGAGCATTCTTTTTCACCCAATTTGTTGCACCCTTTGAACCTTGGGAAGAAAGATTATGAGAGTTAAAATTACTAGCACTAGAAGTGTCATTTAGAACATTTTTATTTATATAATGTGTAGAGAGTTATGAAATTATTAAGTTTGCCATAATAAAGTTTATAATGTTTATATTAAATTATAATTGAAACTTGAGCTCAACTCAGGAGCTCAACTCTTCAACTCATGAGCTCAAGTATGGTCCACGCTCTATACTAGCACAAAACTCTCAACTCATTTGCTATAGAAAAAATAATCTAAATTGAAAAATACATGTGAATTAGAGAGAAATGGGCATAAATTAATTACTTATTTATATGCAAGCATTGCGTTCCAATGCATCATAACACAATCACTATAACAACCATGAAACTTAAGCCAATAAACAAAAATCTAAGAATAAAAGGCTTATATTGTCAATTTCCAACATACCCAAGAAAAACAAACCATTATAATACCAAAAAACATTTGGGATGACATACCAATGGCAATTTGAAGTGTCAACATGAATAACATTACTATTAAGTGAATTAAACATTATTTCATGCAATGTGTTATGAAAACAAATATATGATTGCATATAAAAGCATTATATATTTACATATGTGTGGATTTTTTTTTTAATTTTGAATTGCATGTAAAAATATTATACATACAATCCTTTTCCAATTGCTATATTAGCAGTTGAAAAATGATTATGTGCATAATATTTTTGTCATGGGGTATGCTATATATGCATGGGGCATCAATATTATTATTTATTAATTCAATTGATCAAATGAAAGTTTATAATTAGATGGTAGAATAAACTAGAATATACTAAAAGGTGGTTATAAAAGTTTATAGATTATACCATTAGATATATTTTCTAAAATATTCAAATATCACAAATATAAATACTTCTGGAACGTTTTTAAAAGGTAAGCTTAACAGTTGTTATACGAACGGAAAAGCCGGAAGGTGTGGAAGCTAATAAAAATGGATGTGTTTTATACCACGTTGGATGCTCTCCACGCAGCTCTGGAAGCTATGGAGCTCTGGGCGGGATTAGGGCATCCATTATCTTGTCGTCGCTAGGGTTGCTCGCGGCAATGGAGCGCTCCGGGGCGAGATCCTGGCAAGCTCGCTAGCAGCAGCAGGGCAAATGCGGCCATCGAAGAATGGCTTGTAGCATGCAATTGTGGTGTGGGAATTCTCTTTGCCCGTGGCATTCGTGCTGGAGCTTGAATTCGTGCCAGTCCCAGGCAAGGAGCAGCAGCTTTGCGGTTTCCAGGCCATTGGAATTCCATCGTGGTCACCAGCGAGTTTCTCCCCGCAGAATTCCTCGCCATCGCATCGCTAGGGTAGTTGCTACTGGCGAGGAAGTTGAGCAGCAGTTTGTGGAGGAGCCAGGGATCGTTGGGACGATTGCCATTCCCTTCGAGAGCAGCAGAGATGATCCTCCGCGGCTAGAAGAAGATCACGGATCATCCGAGACACCGGGCGTGATTGACTGTAGTGGAATTGCGACAAGGTGAGTTCTTTTGCTCCATTTCTTTTTCTCTTTGGTTTTTTCTCTTGGTGACACGAATTTTTGGTAGGACTTTGCCGGATTCTGCTACTACCAGCGTGAGAGTTTATAAATCCTATGGAGATTCCGAGCTTCTCTCGAGGTGTACGTCGGTGGCGGAGAGATCCGCCATAGCGTTGGCCACCATGGCTTATGAGCGTGCAAAGAGATTGTTTAGCGTTGTGTCAGCTAATCTAACTGACCTTGAGAACAATTTCAAGAGACGCTCCAAGGTGAGTGAGACAATCTAAAGTTTTGACAGTTTGCTTCCTCTGATGCTTGATTCTCTTTTCTTTCTGTTGCAGGCTTTCGCAAATCTTCCACCCTCTTCTCTTGATGTAAGTAGCGTTAGTAGGCGTTTATACACTTAGAAGCGTCTTAATTAATTTCCAGGAAGATGACGATGCAAGAGATGAGTTGAGAGAGTTGAATGCACGGCTGGAACAAGAGCTTAGTGAGAAGGATCATGAACTTCAGCTGGCACTGATGGAAATAAGAACAGCGCATGAGGTTTTGTTTCATTTTCTTTGCTTTTCAAATTTACTATCTGAAATTTACATGGTTCAGCATTTAAAAGCGCTCCAGGATTCAACTCCAAAAGTCATTCATGAAGTCGATGTGATTCTAGATGATGCGGTCGACAAATTAAGCAGTGATAATCAGCTCAATGATGCTGAAGAAAAATCTCAACAGGTATTCTTCTACCTCTGGCGTTTCTTTCGTGTGGTTGACTGGAAATATGAGGTGCAGGACCTTCTCATCGTAGAGGAAAGAGTGGCGAGTTTATTGGACAAAGTTGGCCACTTGAATGAACTTGTTTCTGGTTGGAAAAATGCTGTATCTGTCCTACAGCTAGAAAGCCAGCATTCGTCAGAGGCACTTCAGCTTTCAGTTCAAGTATGCTCTCTGTAGAATTCACTGAGTAGCGCATGTGTCATTAAACTTACATTTTCAGCTGTGCAGGAATTGGTCAAGGCGCAAATGCTCATTCAGAATCTGAAAACATTGACAGAGAAACAAGCTGTAGACCTTCTTGCCAAAGATGAGCAGCTTGTTGCGTTACAAAAGGAGCTTTCCAACACAAGAGCTGAACTCGAGAGCGTGTCTAAGGTATGCAATCTCTCGTTAAAGCAAATGCTTTACTTATGGTCTGTTGAGACAGTCTCTTTCAGCTGCTGAACAGCAAAAGTGTGAACTGGAGGAGCGCATTAAGCGCCTTGAAGATGCTCTGAAGCACGAAAAGGAAACAATAGCGGCGGTCATAAGATCGACTTCGTCCCAAAAAGAGGATTTATCGGCTGCAGAAAAGAAAGTGGTTTCGCTGACTACGGAAGTCACGTCTTTAAAGGTTCGTTATATAGACCGGCAGCTCCTCCTTTTATACTTTTGCTTGATTGCAGAGCCTTCTGGATGGAAAGGAAGAGCTCATATCAGCCATGCGTGAAGAGTCTAGGAGAAACTCAAACATATTGGTTTCTGCAGCCAAAACGCGTGAGGTAAGAAGAAAATAATCTCACAGAAGAATTATCTAATTTCTTTGAGCTTGTACCCAGGCGCTGCTGATAGCAGAGAAAAGGATAGAGCAGCTGACAAGTCAGGTTAATGCACTCGACGACGAAGTAAAATCTAGAGACTTGGTTTTGAATGATATCAAAGAGGAAGCGGTGCAAAGCACCGAAGCGCTTAGACTTGCCGCTCAAATCAAGCAGGTAACGTTTCTTTTTCCTCACCCAGCGCATTATAATCAACTTGAAAGTGATATCAGGATCTAAATCTTTCAAGACAAAGAGAACTGGAGCTGTCACAAGAACTAGACGGCATGAAAAACATGGTGAAAGAGCTTCGCCAGGAGCTGGTCGAGAACAATCGGGCTGTGCGTGCCGAACAGGTAGCTTTTGGTTTTCCTCTAGACGCAATTTTATTTCTCTAAGAGATGTTTCTTTTAGGCCTTGCGTCAACTAGAAAGTGAAATGGACGAAGTAACAGCTGAAGTAGACATCCTTCGAAAGGGCGTTGAGGCTCGAGACGAGGCGATCCAACTGATGAGAGAAGAAGTCGACAGGAACATCGATGTTCTCAGTCACGCGGCTGGAAACAGAGAGGTATGGCGAAAGTTCATAAGTTCTCATTCGATGTCTCTGTTTGTTTGCAACTTCCAGCTTGTTCGAGAGCTTGAAGAACACATCGACGAACTCAAGGCGGAGCTGAGGAAGAAGGACACAAAGCTTGCAGCTATGGGCAAAGGCTTAGACGTTGGCAGCGGTGTCCCTTCTTCCTCTTCCTCGTTTCTCAAGAGTGGCCTGTACGAAGACCCGTCGTCCTCGAGTTATACTTTCCAACCATCGTCGTCTTCCACTCCTTCACAACCATTTACCAGCGAGGTACTGATCGATTGTGGTTTGATTGCCTAACACGCTCGAGGATTTTCCAGGGTAGAAAGCGGGTGAATAGGAACTCCAGTGGATACAAAAGATCCCCGAGACACAGCTAGAGCTTACTGATCCATGCCATCCCAGTGAGTCTTTGAAAGTTGTGAAGGTTGATTCACATGTAACTTTATAGTTATCAAAACAGTTTAAACAATAATTTAAAAGGAATACTCTCTTCATTGAGGCATGCGCTCACAGCAGCAAAGCTTATCAAGGAAGCACCCTTTGCCAGTAGAAGATACACGCCATGTTCACAACCTCTGAAGAACTCATCTCCCTTGCCTTCAACCTTGCAACAACCCTCCTCCTCAAGAAGTACTGCCACATCAGCAAATTTGCCACATCAGCCGATCCCAAAGTACCACCACATCAGCAACGTCACCTTAGCCAGCAACACCTATGTAGCAGTCACTCCCCTCTAGATGCCACATACATAGTCAGATTACAAACATTGTGTGTTCATTTCCTCTTTCTAAGACATGGGTTGGATTAAACTCTGTTGAATATCAAATTAGACAATCTTAAATAGCATTGCATGAAGAACACTTCATAATATGATGTCTAACACATGCATGCACATATATTTAAGGAAAGTTTTCAGCACATGAGGTTTAATTGTTAGTAATAATGTCACTAATGACATTCTGCTATGGCCTGTGGATCCAAGATATTCAATTTGATTGTCAATAGTGTCATTAGTTTTTCAAATCTTAAGTGTTATGTTATACCAATAATGAAAATTCTTCTATGACAAATTGGATTCTTAGTACAAGTTGAGTTTTATTCGTAAGTGTGAATACTTTAAAACACATGCCTATAGTTTAGGTTCTAATACAACACAAAATAAATTTATGGATGAGGATTCATCCATTCATAGATTAATATAGTACAACATACTTAATATGGTAATGTAATGTGCCTTATTTATACTCTTTAAAGTTTTTGTAACAAATCCAAAACATGTACAAAATATTGATGAGAATGCATCCTTTCTATATAAATGGGAAAAAGTAATATCATATCTCCAATAACTTAAACAGTGATAGGTGCTATTTATATTGTCATAAAATATATAAAATAAAGAACCATAAATTCACATATAATAATAATGATAAGATAAAATAAGATCAATGATATAGTCATTGTGAGTGCTTGGAATATGGAAAGGGAATACAAAAAATGTGCATATACAGGAGTGATTGAAACTAATTTGACAGCTACCAAAATCCCACTACATTAATATTAATATACAGCATTGTAGCCATACACTTAGCCCTCACATCATCCCCTCATCTCAGAACAATAGAAGACCACCAAGGTTCTCTTGTAGATGGGCCAGGATCTAGAGGAACATCAGGAGGAGGCATTGGTGGATCTGTAGGTGGTATTAATTGCTTCTAATCCCTTTGTATGAAGCATTTCAATTGCTGCACATGCACAATCTCTACGTGTGGCAACAAGTTGAGCAATAGAAGATAAACTCGAACCTATATCAACCAACACGGAGAGAAGAATAGGAGACCTCTTGTTATAAGAATGAGCTTGGAAAGTAAATACTCGATGAACTAGTGCCGAGTGAACCCCTTGATGATACTCTCGAAAGAAAGTGGGAGGGGGCACTGACTTATTTGCGCAAGGTCCCTCCGTTACTCGTGCGACTCCTCGTTTCTCAGATGCACCTCGGTGTCCAAACCTTCCACTATAGCAGCACCAACGAGACGTTGCTGACACCAAGGTCTCCACCCAGGAAATGGAGGTCGCCAATCCAGAAAATGCCGACAATGCTGATAAGTATGACCAACTTCATCACACGCCCAACAGCAAATATCATGGCCATGACCATTTGCATTGTTACTTTTATCATATGCTTTATTTTTCTTAATTACACATATGTTACTTTTGTAGTGAACAAAACTCTAGATGATATGATTTACAATATCAAAAATTAAAGCTTCCATACAAATAATACATACAAATTCTGAAGTTACTCGATGTCTATTTAATGAACAAAGAAAAAGAACTGCTAGAATTATTTGAGAATATGATGAGAAAGACTATTTACATCACACAAACTATGAGTGAAAGCAAAAAGTTCTTGGCACCACATATTAGTGGTGATCTAAAAGGCACTTTCATATCCTTCGACACCTCTGTGAATATATCTTTAGAAGGGATCACAAGGGGGTGGTTGCCAAAAAAGTCCACGAGCATGATAACTTATGATTGCCAACATGGTCAACTTTATTTTATGCAATGTGCAGCCTATAAGATTTCTAGGATCTTTCCTAAATGTATTATCTATAGGTGTTTTTAATATAGAGGCATGCATTTGCACTCAACTTGTTGTTAAAGGTGTAAGGGATGGAAGAATGTATCCAACAATATTTGTAAAAGTTTTAAAGGCACAGAAGATAGATTGCCCTTGGGAGTTGGAGCTCTTTAGCCTTATACTAGACTAGAAGGAAGTTGTTAATATAGGTTGATGTAATATTCTCTAAATTGCTTGGTTATCATCATTTATTGGTGGAACTTGATTCAAATCCTAGTGGAAATCCTAGCTATCTGGTGGTGGAATATGAGTTTGATTTAGAACTTCCTCCTCTCGATCATCACTCACATCACCATTGTTACAATGAGGTAGATAAAGGTGATTTTTACAAACCAAAAGTGGTAATATATATTTTTTGTAGTAATGATTGTTGGTAATAATTTCATTCCAGCTCAACAAGATGCTTGTGATGAGGAGTTGAAAGAACTCTCATCGAAAACATGCCATATAACAATAATATATTATTTATTACTTTTTTCATTCATTTAGCTCTTTTATAGGTCTATTTTATTTCCCCAATAACACACCAAGGCATTGCGGGTGTTTTCATTGGCTCCTACAATAGATTGCTAACATCTTTCATAGAAGACAATATAAATATAGACATATAGTGCCAGTTTAACTGTTAGTGCCAAAAGATACAAAGGCCTTTGCTCTTAGTTGCAAACTTCATTTTCTTCAACTTTCCAAATGATCTTTCAAATATTGATAGGAAAGTCAAAATCTAGAACTTTCTCACACTTGACCATATACCTGATATGTTACTATTGTCGAAGTTAACCATGTCATCTTTATCCTACTAAATTGGATGTATGAGATTATGATGTGTGCAATAAAAGTTTGTTTCAAGTTATTCTCCTCCAGGTGCATCATGGATCTTGTTGGCATTAATACTAGGGGTGTCCAAGGCAAGCCTTGAAAAGATGAGTAGGTATTTAGAAATGTATTGTAGATCTGATCATCTATAAGGTTGGGTATGATGTTAGTGAAATTGTCATACCAAGCAAAACGTGTGTTACATGCTCACTATCACGAAATCTGTCATACATGTTTTTACAGAAGGCATGATAGGTCCATATTATAACTTCTCTATTGCCCATTAGATGGTGTTATGATTAATGCACAATAAGTAGCAATTCTATAGTGGAGATAGTACATGACTTTAGTAGATTGGTGTTTGCTATTGAAGAATATTATTTCTTCAATGCTGGCTTAGAGGATTTCGTGAGCTGGCTCTAACCTCAAGGAGGTAAATTATGTTTATTAATGTTTCAATACATGTTTAATTCTATTTTATAAATCATAGTCACCTAGAGTTTTTAGAGTTGGAAGCTTTAGAAGTTTTTTGAAGTATGCATGTTATGATCTAGCGCAAAAAGACAAAGATCTAGTCACCCTAGACTATGCTATGCCACCTCTTGAGGTTCCTCACCACCCAACCAGCCCCGAGCTACCTCAAAAGCTCCACTACGCTGCCGCTCCACTATGAGCCCTAGAGTAGGATTTTTCCCTTACCCTAACATGCCTTAATATACCCTTGAGCCTCCCTTTGACCAACATTGACCATGTGGTCAAAGTTGGCGCCTAACAATTCTTCCCCCCAACAAAGTCCTTGTCCCAAAGACGAGTTGTACCAATGATCACCTTTTTTGGGGAACCCTGCTCAAGCTCCTGGTCCATCTTCCACAACCGTATACATCAAGGAGGCATTGGGCCCATTACTCCGAGATAGTACACCTTTCAACTAGCTGACATAAAATACCGGATGACTTTTCACCCCAGCTGGCAGTCACACCTGATAAGCCGCTTTACCAATGCGCTCTAGCACTTCATATGGACCAGCATATCGATGGGAAAGTTTATCACTCTTCCCTGTCCGTAAAGGCACCAAGGTGTTCTACCGCTCACTTGACAGAAAGATCACTCACACAAAGACGAGATCACCTACCTTATATTCCCGAAATTAGTGATGCTCATTAGCAACCTTCTCCGTTCTATCCTGAGCTACCTGCAAATTCCATTTGCACACCACCAGAATCTCATCAAGTTCTGTGGCCAGATCAGTCACCTCGGAATCAAGCTTATCTTGAACATCTTTACTCAAATGCAATCCCAACTCCACCGTTTTTCGAGGATGCCTTCCAAACATGGCAAAGTAAGGACTTAGCTTGGTTCCTCTATGTTGGTTATTGTTGTAAGCAAATTGCACTAACGAAAGATATAGATCCCACTGTCCTTGCCTTTGACCAATGCTACAATGTAGCATATCCTCCACCACCTGATTCACACGCTCGATTTGCCCATCCGTCTGAGGATGATCTCCACTCAAGAGTTTCAAAGTCACTTGCATAGCCTTTGCAAAGCTTTTCCAAAATCCACTGGTGAACTTTGAATCTCGATCACTAATGATGTCCTTTGGCAAACTAAAATCAGGAAAAACCTTCTCCAAGTAAACCGCAGCCAAGTTTGAGGCAGTGACAATCTTCCGAAGAGCCAACAACCACACATACTTCGTTAACCGATCCACTATGACCCATACTTGCTCCTTTTACCTCTATGTTCGTGGCAAACAAGTGATGAAGTCCATAGAGATACTACACCAACAGCTCTAAGGAATAGGTAAAGGTTGCAAAAGTACCCCTAGCTTCTCCCGTGGCACCTTAACCCGCTGACAAAGCTCGCATGATTTACAATACTTGAGGATATCAGCCTTCATATTCCTCCAATAAAAGTTGCGCTTAATCAACTCATACGTCTTCTTCCCCCCAAAGTGACCGGTCTCTGAACAATCATGATAGTCGAATAAAACTTGAGTAATTAATGCATCTATCCATGGCAAATATACACAGCCA